GAGTACGACTGGACTGGTTTCTCGATTTTGAAAAGATGAAATTTTAGTGTCAGATTTGTAATTAGCGACTCTAAAAGCCCTAGGATATAAACCGAATTTTTTGTTTTTATCCAACATTTTCGGAATTGTTGCAAGGAAAATATTAAAACAAAGAGTGAATCGCACAATTTTCATGGAAACCGTCATGTGTTATCTCAAATAGTTATTTTGCTGTCAAATTTCGATACACGATGTTTCTTAATTGAATGTCAATATTTTTGAGGGCCGATTTTAAGAAGAATGTCCTAAACTTTTGAGGTACAGGTTAGCAAATTTTCCAAAAATAAATAATTCATGATTAATATCTGTAATACCACTCCAGATATTTTAATAAATGAATTCTGCATGCATGTACTATGAAGCACATTTTTTTAATTTCCACCAGTGGCGTTTGTACGAAACTTCAACTGCCTGTTTTGACAGGCATGGATGGTACGCCACTGATTGCTCTTTAAATAAATATTATTCTTGAAATTCTCAATCATTTCTAAGCTAATTTGACCAATTGATTTTTTAAGCCGATGCACGGTTTTCTCTTCAAAAAATAAAACATACAATATCACCATGCAGATAAATAGATTTTATTTGCCTGACAAAATTCAATAAATAAATGAATACAGCATTTTTTTATTTTAAGAAAAGTAATTTATATGGTATATCTTTGAAACTTCACCAATCCCAAATCTCTAAAGTTAGGACGTTTATAAATTTTTGGTCTTAAAATGGATACAAACATGGCCTTCTTAGATATTGACATTTAATTATCGTGTCTGGATAACACAGTTTCGTTCAAAGCTTATTCAAAAAGCATCTGTTTCCATTGGCGTCCTTTAGGGGGCTGTATCATCAAGGCGAGGCAATATTTAGAAAATCATCAGAGCACAGAATAGTTTTAAGAATAGTCAAAAAATCACTCCTTGATTCTTATCACATGTTTTGGAAATGATCTCGAGGCTATGTGGTTATGGTTAGTAATATTGCTTAACATTATTGAAAACTAAAAAATATACCAAAGCATCTCCAAGCTTCGTTTTGTAGATTCAAGTTACTAGTCACTTTTGAGTTTAGTCGAAAACAATTTTGGAGGTATAAAAATACTAAACATTTTGAGGGATAAAAATACTAAATATAATTTACTGTTGGGTGCAAGGCGTGGTAAAAAATAAGGGTTACTCTTATGTCTTTGTGAAATTTGTGATTATATTTTTACAAGTTTGTATTTAGACGTTTTTTTTGATGAATCATGTTACAATGCTTACGCACCGAGGATTGAGTACTGATGGCGCGTATTTATTTGCGATTTCAATATGGTTTTGGAACTTTAGAACAATCTTCACATTTTCTGATGAATGATAAGGATTTTGACATACTGGTTTGTATCCTTTATTAATCCGCAAGCATGAAAAAACGAATCGCTAAGTAACGTACTTTTGAAGTTTGGTATATAATGTACTATTCTTACGAAACTAGCACACTGCTTACCTATATTGAAACTATGAGAAAAATGTTCACCTTAAAAATATGTAATATATTCCCTATATCCTGCATTATACAGCAGATTCCGTATTGCCGTATGCATATGACAGCTTTAATATGTCAAATATCCAAATAAAAATTTGGTGAATTTCCGATTTCCAGTGCTTTTCACAAAGGCCGCCCTACTTATTTTTTGTCATTTAGAATGATAAGATTGCATGAATAGATACTATATTTTAGCGCTAAAGTAGCGGTTGAAAACTTTCATGTGATGGTTGGAAGCCATCTTGGAATTTTTTTTCAATGAAATGGCCAAAGCTCCTTGTAAACACTTTTTCGCTCTAGAATATAAATTCATTATTTTTTAAATTGGTGGACTGGCAGACTGTGAAAGTGGGGCGTTTTTGTAAATTGAATCACAATTCAACAACTCATTATCAAAACACTATAATATACTATATAAAAATATAAATATTGATCTACTTAACTTGGAAAGATCTATCCGAATCAAGAAATATGAAAGATTCCACTTCAACATCATCAAAATCTGTCAGTTTTCCAAAACGGAATTTCTCATATTCTATTGCATACACCGAAAACCAAATTTGTCTGACGACTTGAGTTCAATGTGTACGAGAGGGAAGTGTGTATAGACACAAATATGTTAGAAAGAGTTATAGAAGCCGGCTGGATAGCGAAGCTCATCACTGCGTTGCCTAGCAACGCTGACGCGGCAATGTGCCGCGTTGCTACTATGTTACATCAGTTTTTTGGGTTAAGACGCATGTTGAAAATATCGTCGCTGGAAAGACAAAGAGGCGTAAGTCGGAAAATGCCCATTTGGAGTGACCACCACCAGAAATCTCTAAGGGTGGGTATCTATAATATGACGAAGTGGCGTATCGCTCCTCCTTATAGTTAACGTAACATGGCAAATCAGTATGTGGACGGATCGCCTATTCTTACTAGTGCTAAGAGGACAAACGGGCGTATATCGCGTCTTCTGTAAAATAGCTGAATTGGAGTTACGCCTCTTTGTCTTTCCAGCGACGATATGTGTTAGTTTATTCGCTGCGCCCAATGGTTTTATTTTGAGCGTTCACATTATTGAATCGTGAACAGGGTCGAGTCTGTTCAGGATCGATTCAGAATCGCCACAGATTGTGCAACATTGCATTATTGGTTCGCTTGGCGTCACCGCATCTTGTACATACCAAGGCAAGGTTTCCACCTCCATGGTCATAGTTGAGGGATTTTGGTCAGTACCCATCAATTCTAGTGCTCCTAGGGGAGTGTCATCTTGATTTAATCAACATCGGTCGAAATCAAAGATGATTCTAAAATAACTTAAATCACTAAGTCGCATCAAAATTGAAATAAATAATTCTAATCAAAATGGAAACAAAATATTAAATTAAATGTTCGCACAGTTACTAGGCAATATGTACACATTGAACTCAAGCCGTCAGACAAATTTGAGTTTCTCTGTATACAGATAGACTCTTCCAAGGGAATAAAATTGCTATAATATAGAGCGTTTTGATGATTCGTTGCTGAGTTAATAAGATATGCAATGATAAATTTGACAGCTGGCTAGTCCGTCATTTTGAAAAATAGTAAATTTATTATATTCTAGGGTTATAAAGGAGCTTTAAATGAGGTAATATGACCCCCCCATTCCATGTAAAAATGTTGCAAGATGGCGCCCAGCCCTACGACTTTTACGTTAACATATAGTATTCAGGCATACATTTCACGATCTTAAATTTCTGATTTGACCCTTTCAAAAAATTAGTACGGGGGCTTTTTGAAAAGCACCGCTGGAAACTGAGAACGCCTCAAGCGACAATTACAATCAAGCTCCACAAGAGGAAGTTGTCGAAGGTGTTCTTCGTCGATTCTCGCGCTCATCCTATAAAACATAGAACATGTTTTATATTTTTACTGCGAATATTCCTACTACTTTTTTGCATGTCAAACAACAAATTCTCACGAAAATCGACGTAACCACAAGAGCAATAATTATCGGCTATCTGGAGCGGCTCTAAAAGTACAATCCAAATAATCTGCCGTCCAAAAATAGTGAAGATTGATTCTAAACATATCCATATTTCTAGAAAAAATATATGAATACGAATTGGATATTGAATACCTATAGCGAACTAGGCGAATATATAGCTAACGAAATTTGCATATTTATTAAATGTTATGAATGAAACACAAATTAGCGAACATTGTTTTGCAGTATTACGTGACAAATAATGGCCAAAATTTATGAGAAGAATGAAATTACAGAACAAACATTTGAATTTAAACTTTAATGAATGCTGAAGAAGCTTATATAAAATATTCTATTGAATTTCCTGTTCATTATTTGTCACACATACTATAAAAATGTATTCTAGGTAATTTTCTTTTTCAATATTCTTGCCAACATACATATTGTCAGTTCAATAGGTAAAACCTTCATTATTACTTGGTATCTTTATAACTCATCTAAACAGTATACCTTTCATCAAGCTCATCATTTTTAAGTTCAAGTTAGGTCTGTCTTAATACCACTCATATAAAATAGTTGTTAATTTTTTTATTCAAATATAATTACAATTTCAAATTTTCACTCTCAAAGTAACTTCGTTTTGAAGCCCCACAGCGCTGGAGACGGTTCTTCCACTCCTTATACCAGTCTCCAGCTGGTCAGTTACACGTTTTCGACTCTCCCAAAATGAATTTCCTTGAGGTGATTTTTCATCTTCTGGAAGAAAAAAAATTCACAAGGACTCAAGTCAGGCGAATAAGGAGGCTGAGGAGCCACAGGAATGTTTTTTACTGGCCAAAAACTTGTTTATTGACATTGCTGTGTGACAAGAAGCATTATCGTGATACAACTCTCAGTTGTTCTCACAATAGAAAAAACTGTTTCACAAAAAAAAATCGCTACGGACAACCAAGTGACCCGAGCGAGTTCAAACTTGTACTGAAGGCGGAGCAGCACATGTTCCCCTCTTTCCCCTCCAAGACCGGCGCCTCCAGTGTTGTCAGATCGAACGCTACGTTGCAAGTTGCACCTCATTTTGATGATTTTTTACATTTTTCCAACAGTTTTATTTTCCTGAAATTCTGGCCAATTACTTACCTAATCCTAAGAGACATGTATACAAAAATTTGTTGTAATGAATTCAGTATTACTGGTTGTTCTCTTTTTCATGTCACTTAGTATTAGATTTACTATTTGAAGCCAATTCACCAGTAGCAATTCTCAACCTATGTGATAAGCATATGGGATTTGTTTCTGTATAGTTCCCTTGAAAAAAATATTGTAAGTTTCAGGTTTATAACTGTATTCTGATAGTATCTAATATTACCGAAGTAGTTTCATTCAATAATAATATTCGGTATGTATGTTAGCAAGAATATTGAGTAGGTAAGTGAGCAGTAGCCAAAAAACGGTTTTCCCTATATAATTGTCTATGTCAAATTGACAGATTCGGTATGAGGACGAGGACGAAGATGAAGGGCCACAACCAGATCCTACACTGGAGCAAGGACTACCCCTTCCCGTTCGACTCCAGGGTAGTTTTCCACCAGAACTCGCCAGCACACCACTTGAAGACATCGATCCTTTTTACCATAACCAAATGGTGAGTTTACATTAGGGGAGTAACGTATCAGAAAAAATGATTATTCCAATAAAAGTATGTGTTTCAATGAATTATTTTATTTAGATTCAAAAGGGTAATTGAATAATATCTGGAATTTGAAAGATTGGATTTTACTGAAGGATGTGTATTATAACTGTGCACTGAAAAATTTTAGATATGAAAAAAAATTGAATACTTGATGAATTTTATGTATATCTATAGTGTTAGTGGTGAAAAAATGCATACCTCGTTTGTGAAGGCCATTATTGCACTCGCAAATTATATTCTCCGGTTCACTTCCCAAACTAGATATGTACTTTTAACGTAATACTTTTTTTCTTTGAAATCTTTGCTTATAAGATTAACCAATCTGATATATTGATCGACTGATTTTGTTTCAGACTTTCGTAGTAGTAAGTAAAGGCAAGGACATATTTCGGTTTAGTGCAACAAATGCTCTTTGGATACTCGATCCCTTCAATCCAATCCGACGAGTGGCTATTTATATCTTAGTACATCCTTTGTTCTCTCTTTTCATCATAACTACCATCCTTGTCAACTGCATCCTTATGATAATGCCCACCACACCCACCGTTGAATCAACTGAGTAAGTATACATTTTACATACTTATACCATATCCAAATCTGAGATGGAGTAAAACATAATAAACATATTCACGTGATTGCTCGGCAACAGGTGAAAGGGCAGCATTCATTAAGGTCGATTCGTCCGTACAACTGTTGTACCGTTCCCGTAAAGCAGAACTTGAATCATGCGCTCGACGTTAAACTGTTTATAAGTAGGAATGCCGAAATGCTGTCGCTAGACTTGAAGAAGTTTCAAATTTCCGGCGCTGCCGTTATCGATTTAACCAATGAAAGAAACCCTGCAAATCACGTGTATGTTGCAACAGATCAGCTGGTTTTTCCGCGTGCTTTTTGCTCTGTTTGACATGACATATGCTTTGTTTTGCTTTTGTAATCCTTTCATATTGTTTGGTATACGTTATTCAGTTTATTTGAATAATAATAAAAATTATCAAGTGATCAAGTCTTCCAATATATAAAAAGGGAGGCAATTTGGGTAAGGTTATGCGTCGCGCGCGGTAACGTTGGCAAGTTTGTAAATTGACTTTAACTGCCTACGGTCACGGTACGACGGTGGTGCGGCAACCACAGAGTTTATAAATCGACCGTTAGTGAATTCGATACCAACTGCTTGTCCTGCCACCAGCACCTGTACAGAGTTGCAATCAAGCGTTCGCGTGGCGTGCAATATTCCAAAAATATATTCAAAGTTTTTCGCATACACACAGATGCGCATATAAGCTATATTTTTTCATGTAATACTGACTAATAAACAGTCGTGATTATGAAAATCTTCCATGTGATCGATTAACTCGCGAACCGTGGCCGTTTAAATGGGATGTGCAATAGTGGTGGCAGATATTCACGAACAGTGATTTAGTAGCTAATATTTCTAAATAACCAATCACAACTGTTACCGAATACCGTGGAAAAGCTTGGCCTTCGGGAATGGCTACGGCGAATGGCATGGTGGGATCACGGGGTTAACGTTTGAATGGTCGTGAATCGTATACCAAATATGGCCTGCAGCGATATCGTGCCTTGGTAGTGAGCTCCATACGATTCCATCGCGCTATTTTGCTCAGGACATCATTATAGTCGTGATGGGGTCACGGTTTTAAATAACAGATATTTTAAAGATAACGATATCGGCCATCTCTAATGCGGTTATATATCCAGTTCGAATGATCAAAATCTAGGGTTTTCTCAAAGCGTATGATTCTAGAATTCTAGATGATGGATCAGTCAAATAAGATTTTTGATTTTAGTCATTCCAATACAAGATTCTAGAAGATAATGTAACGACCACGGGTCACGAGGTAATCAAAGGCCTGTGATCAACAAGATGTTGGAGTTATCCATTACTCACAAGACGGTCCTGAGTACGACTCTGTCCGATTCTACAGCTTTCGCATATCAAGTGCACAACGCATGATTGTGTTTACAATAATTCTATCTTGGATTTGGATGGAGCTTAGCAACTTCACAATTGTGTAAAGACAAGGTTGTGTCATTTTACACATAAGCCAGAAAAATATCTAAAAAAAATGTTTTTTGCTGTATACATATAAGTTAGCTACTAAACACTGATATAAAGCAAATTCTTGTGAGGAATTTCTGAGCATTGTGCTCTTATAGTAATACCACGTTCTAAACACGTATGTAAATAACATTCCGCACATCAGCAGAATGTGCTAAGAATATATTACAAACCCCTATTAGGATCAGATATCACACATTCTCAGAACGTGCTGCTACTAAATTCGAATCGGACCCTCTGCAGGTAAATGGTATCGCGTGTTCATGGGCAACTAGTATTGCTAAAGTCACAGACAGGTAGGTAATACTACCGGTATTACAAATTCCTGAATAATAAAAAGGTTTTAACTGATACCAGATATGTAAAATTTTCAGACCCCTACAACCCCTAACCTCAAATTTTCAACATGTGTGAAAAAGCGATTTTTATTTTTTTGCCCCTACCTCCTCTGCTACTGGACCGATTTTCAAAAACTACAGTTTTCGTCCGTGGCATAATAGTAACATTCTGTGAGAATTTAAGCAATATCTGACTGGTACTTTCCAAGTTATTGCAGGGCTAAGGATTAGCGAATATATACCGACAGGCAGATGGACTGACAGACCGAGAAAAATTATTTTACTGATGTAAAATTATAAACGACTTGTTTATCAAGCTTTCTTGTTGGTATCCCAAAAACAAATAAATTTTGAGCTATGAATGAACCGCAGATGTTTGTTTTACACAGAAAACAGAAGAACTACTGTTGAAAGCCAACCTTGTCTTTAAAATATTGATGCATCCATGCTCTAGTATGTATTATTTCTGAACAAATCCTTTGACATTTTCAGAGTGATTTTCACCGGAATCTACACATTTGAATCAGCTGTGAAGGTGATGGCCAGAGGTTTTATACTTCAACCGTTCACCTACCTTAGAGATGCATGGAACTGGCTCGACTTCGTAGTCATAGCTTTAGCGTGAGTAGCTTAGTCTAGAACGTAGTCAAGACAGATAAATTTATTTATAGCTAGATACATCTACAGATTTACAGGTCATACGACACACATCAAGTATGTTTCCAGAGATACCGAAGAAAATGTACGCCACCTGAGACCCGAATCCTCGAATCCTTGTACATTTTTCTCATGGAGGAAATATCAGTATAACAATTGGAAACTACATAGTTTTGAAGGCACCTATGGCAATATTTTTCAGTTCATGCAATCTCACGGTTTTGCATAGTTGAACTTGTCAATGTGATCAAATCTGACATATTGTATGATAGAAACATATTTCAACGATGTTTTCTATTCCATTCAACATCAAATGTGCAGAGTATGCCACTTTTTAAGAAAGTATAATTGCGTGTTCCCCCAAGAAAAATGTTTCAGGATTCGAAAATTGAGACCCTCGTGGCAGTAATAGACGTCTTGTACTCTTGTTTGTGTTCTATGATATTTCGTACGCTATTTTTTTACTCAAAAATCATATACCACATTAACACACATTCCTATATAGCTTGGATACATTGACAGATCTCCTGGATTTTTTACACGACACACCTTAAATACGTTTCCAGGCGAAATCAACATAGGTCCTGGCAATAAATTCCCATTGTACTTTTTGTTTTGTCCTATCATTCGATTTGCTAGATTTAACTCGGATATACCTACAGATCTACTGAATTTGTTACTCGGTAGACATGAAATATGTTTCGTTACTTTATCATATATGAAAATCGTATTTACTGATATTTTGCTTACAACTGTTTTGCGATGTCGAAGTGCATTGGTTTTTCTGATAAATCGAAAGAAAACAATGCCAGAATTTCAAAAACAACTCATTTTATACATAAAATTTATGTTATCTCAATATTATGCCTCGTAATTACCTTCCTAGAAGGATATAAAGCTTAGCTTCCCCGGTGAAACCTATCTCTTTACCGTTGTCATAATGACGTCAAATTTAGGTCATTTGGCGTCAATATTACGTCCTAGATACGTCAATTTTACGTATCTTCGGGAGACTTCAAAAACAAGACCTAAACATGGCTGTACCGCAATTATCTATACTACTAAGGAACACCATAATTCCTATTCTGACATGTTTTCTGTTAATGTTCAAGTATCAAAGTACACTAGACGTTAAACAAGGGACATAACATAGAGACTGAGTGTTTGAGACAACAACATTAGAGGAAAGTGCCCAAAATTGGACCCCATTTTGTATTTGATTTAAAAAATACGAACAATAGCATAAACAACATTTTAAAAGCGTACAATGTTTATCATATAGTTCTAACCACCCTTTTTTATTTACATGTTAATAAATCATAGTTCATAGTTAAAGAAACTAATATCCAAAAACTTGCAAATTTGGTGTCAATGTCGGACCCCGAGTAAAAATTGTCAATCAGCAATTAGGCTTTTATTCTTAAGCAAAGATACACAATATAACATATATTCAAAAAAGATAGTAATGCTGCTTCCGTTCATCCGGCCAACCGGGTAGAACGCTGTTTCATACTTATTGACAATCATCAGCACGGTCTAGGCTTCTAGGTAGAACAACGAACAAAAACATATTAAAAGCATCCTTTATCAGAGGTATACAGTCTATCGAAATACGTCAGCAAGAGCCATCTATTACCAAAATCGTCCACTGCGAAATTGAATGGCAATTTTTGATGCCATAGCTATAAAAATTCCAGACGTACATTTCTTTTTCTACTCCCTGCTTTCTTCTATCCCATCTTCTTAAGGCATCTTATCAGGTTTTCTGAACCTGGAAAGGGGTTCAGGATAGTGGCTAGAAGATTTATGCAACTGAAAGGGGTCCGGCTTAGGCAACTAGAACCAAAATATTGGTTTTCCGATAAAATTACAGTCCAATATGTGAACGAAACAATATCTAAGCTACTATTTACACTTTTCGATAATAAAGTCTCAGATAATGCAGAGCCATTGGAGCCAGAGATCCGGTTTAGGCCACTTTTCTCTACCCATTTATTTAATTTATCTTCTATATCCACAGCTATAAAACGTATATTTTATTGGCTTTTGAACAGAGTATTTGGTATAAGCAAATGATTATACTTACTATACAAGTGAGTTGATTGTTATTGCTACAGCTACTCTAACATTTCCGTAGATATAAATTAGTAGTTAATTCATTATTGTGTTAGTAAATTAATCGTTATAAAAGCGCTAGTTTTTATAAAAAAATCTAGTCTAGTTTAGAAAATTTCGGTTAGAATTATTCATTCATAGTCATTTTCTTGTAGTTTGACTCCTAGTTTTGAAAATTAAATTGGTATTTTAAACGATATTGCATTATGTGTCGTCTGGTGTGAAGATTTAGTTACTAATACGTTTTTAAAGCTTAATAGTGACATTTTTAGTAGCTGTTTTATGCATTTGTTGGATAGTATTTTTAACATTTATCCACATTTACAGTTATGTGACAATGGGTATCGACCTCGGAAATCTAGCTGCCTTAAGAACATTTAGGGTACTCCGGGCTCTGAAAACAGTAGCCATCGTACCTGGTAAGTACCCGTTTCCATAATGTTTTATTAGAGAGAAATCTCAGAGTAAAATGAATGAAAAATACGAAGTTTGTGCGATTTTTTTTGCCTGTAGCCCCTCCACCACTGGACCGATTTTCAAAAACTACAAAGATTATTTTTAACCTCCGAAGTTAGAGATGGGCCTCATATCATATAACGTCCAAAAAATAATATCAAATTTGCGCCAGTGACGTAGGAAATAAAATGGCAGTGAAGCTCTCATAATTAAATGTCCATGTCTCTAGATGAAACGTGGAACATATAAAATGTCCAAGTTGAAATGACGACAAATTTAAACACAGAAATTCCTATTGGGATACCCTTTATAAAAATATAATTTTTATGCCGCGCAGGCAATACCTAACTGCCAAGGCGGCTGCTATGAGGAGCTTAACGAAACTTTGTTAATCCGATTTTGAACTTCCTAAGACATCATTTGTGACTCTGAGACCACATGGTCTGTAAATTAAGTGATGAGAGTGTTTTTTTATTCAAATATAATTTTATATTGTCAATGACAAAATTACTTTCTTCTGAAGCCACACAGCGTTGGAGACGGTTCTTCCACTCCTCATAGCAATGATGGAACTCCGATACTGAAATAGCCTTCAGCTGGTCTGTTTGAATCTTTTTGACTGTCTCAAAATGAGGTGATTTTTCAACTTCAGGAAGATAAAATAGTTACAAGGACTCAAATCAGGTGAATAAGGAGGCTGAGGAGCCACAGGAATGTTTTTACTGGCGAGAAACTGGTTTATCGACATTGCTGTGTGACAAGGAGCATTATCGTGATCATCCTGACTGAGCGCTGACGATCCGAACGCACAAGATCCCGGATTCTGTCAATATTTTCATCGGCTCTTGAAGATGGAAGGCCTTCCGCTTCATGGTCAATCGACTCTCTCCCTTCTGAAAATGCCTTAAACCGCCGTAAAACCTGAACTCTTGAAAAAACACTATTATATCCGTAGGCCTGCTGGAGTCTAACAAGAGTTTCCGTTGCCCTGTTCCCAAGTCTGAAGCAAGACCTAATGCTCGAAATTGATGGCATTCTTTTTTAAAACACAATAGGAAAAACTGTTCCACATAAAAAAAAAACGCTACGGAAACTAGTAGTAAGTTCAAACTTGTACAGAAGGCGGATCATATTTTCCCCAGTCTTCCCTCCAAGCCCGGCACCTCCAGTGTTGCCAGATCGAACTCTACTTTGGCAGTCTCATCACTCAATTTGCAGACCTCATATACAGGGTGTTTCAGTTTATTGTTGCATAACTTTAAGATTCGATATAACTTTTAAAATTAATGTATAAAGTATATATAAACATGGGTCAAAAAATGCGTGGCTTCCGAAATACAGGGTGTTTAAATTTACTTTCTAAAATAGTTTTTTTTAAATATTTCGAACAATATTTGATGTATAACAGTGAAAATTGGTATACAAGGGTTTTTTGGTACGACAAAACGAACCATGGGCATAGTTTTACTGTAGCATCTAGAGGGCGCTCTCTACTGTACCTGTAGTGTATTAAAATGACCGAAAAATTTTTCGTAGTGTAATTTTTTGCTTTTTGAATAAAGAAACTGATTCTTCGCACTTTTCAACATAAAAAAGCTCTCAGTTTTCGTTATAGTTAGCCGTTTTTGAGAAATTACGATTTTTAAGGTTCGATGCATTTTTAATTATTCATGGGAAAATAATATTTTTTTTACATTTTCGATTTGGGCATTACAAGTAATTAAGATGATCGTTTAGATTGTGTTTTTAGACACAGCAATAATTCCTAACTCCAAATAAACACAAAAAAAACAATATTAATTTGTTTAATTTTCCAATATTATTTTTAACAAATTAAATTAAAAATTTACAACTAAACTGCTATTGGATAGTTAGGACACACATACAAAACCTAAAATAGTTGCTCGAAATGTAAACCCAATTGTCCTTATTTCATCACATGCATTCCTGATTCTGTCTATTAGCATATCTCTTGTGGTTACGGGAGTCTGGTACACTTTTTCTTTTAGAAATCCCCACACAAAGAAATCTAATGGATTTAGGTCAAGGGATCCGTCTTTCTGGATAATTTTCGTCCAGCCAATATCTAACTATTCTCGAATAATGAGCTGGACAACCATCAAGCTGGAACCAGGCCAATCTTCTTAAATCTAACATAACATCATCCCACATATTTGCATGTTCAGCCTTTAAAAAATCCAAGAAGGTCGCAGCATTTAACCTTGCAGGCAAAAGGTAGGGTCCAAATAGTCGATTACGGTAGATACCTATCCACACGTTCACACTAAATTCATGCTGAAAATTTCTTTCCCGAACTGCATGCGGATTTTCATGCGACCAAATATGTTGATTATGAAAATTTACCACTCCACGTCTAGTGAAGCATGACTCATCGGTCCATAAAACGTTACTTAAAAACCCCCTATTATTATCAGTTCTATCAAGAATCCACTGACAAAATGTGATTCTTCGTTCTCCGTCCCCTGGCTGTAGTCCTTGCACAGTTTGCAAATGGTAAGAACGTCTATGGTCATTTCTAAGAACACGGTGAACATGGCTTGCTGAAATTCCCAAGGCACCAGGAACTCTCCTAACACTTGTGGTCGGATCTCTATCAAACTCACGCAGAATCATACGGGTAAATCTGCGCTGACGAACATTTATGTTTTGATTCCTTTGGAGATTTCCAAAACCATTTACAATTATTTGGCGATGCACTCTTACAAATACTGAGCGAGTTGGATGTCGTCTGCTTGGAAATCTTGGTGCGTATTCTCTGGCTACTTCTGCTGCGTTTCCATTTACAAAGCCATACACAAAATGGATATCCGCTAACTCTTGATTGGAGAATAAAAATGTCATTTTTATAAAACTTACAAAAAAAAAACAGGTAAAAGAACCTAGATTTCGTGCATTCACAATTGCCAAAAAACGTTTCAGGTTTCAACAGACAACAAAACTAACTGTCAACTAATTGACGTTCAACCTTATTCTGCTTTCAATTTCGAAAATATTTGCAGGCACAGCCTACTTCAAAAAATTATCGAGATACTGACTTTTTAACGTTATTTTATCATAAATAATTAAAAATGCATCGAACCTTAACTATAACGAAAATTCACAAGAGAGCTTTTTTAAGTTGAAAAGTGCGAAGAACAAGTTTTTTTGTTCAAAAAGCAAAAAATTGCACTAAGAAAAATTTTTCGGTCATTTCAATACTCTACAGGTACAGTACAGAGCGCCCTCTAGCGGTTACAGTAAAACTATGCCCATGGATCGTTTTGTCGTACCAAAAAACCCTTGTATACCAATTTTCACTGTTATACATCAAATATTGTTCGATATATTTAAAAAAAACTATTTTAGAAAGTAAATTTAAACACCCTGTATTTCGGAAGCCACGCATTTTTCAACCCATGTTTATATAGACTTTATGCATTAATTTTAAAAGTTCTATCGAATCTTAAAGTTATGCAACAATAAACTGAAACACCCTGGATATATAGCTCATATGGACCAATCATCTCAGGTCATCAGATTTTTTTCAGCATTTTAACCAAGACGTTTTTACAAATTTGAAACATCTTCTACAACCATTTATTTTTGTATTCCAGGTTTGAAGACTATCGTAGGAGCAGTTATCGAGTCCGTAAAAAATCTCCGTGATGTGATAATTTTAACAATGTTTTCACTTTCCGTTTTTGCGTTGATGGGTTTGCAAATCTACATGGGCGTCCTCACGCAGAAGTGTATCAAAAGATTTCCAATGGATGGATCTTGGGGTAATCTCACAGATGAAAACTGGGAAATGTTCAACCAAAACAAAAGTAAGTTCCTGAGCACCAAAAAAGTCACAGGCTTAGTGCAGTTCACTCAGCATAGTATTTAAAAATAGTGTGTAGTGCGAATGTGATTATCTCTATCTAACTCAAGTTGTAAGTCTGTATCATTATCTTTACATGTGCCCCATAATAACATGCCAATCTCGTATGCATATGGAACACAACAAAGAATGCCTTAAGATTGTATAAAAAATGTTCTACGGGCCTTCCCTATAGAGATAAAGACCACTAAGGCCGATTTTACTAACAGGGGTACAACATTTGTGCCTATGGCTCAAATTCGACCAATGAGAAGTCGTTTTTGAATTAATAGATAATGAATATGGACGAAAATTATACGATTTGTGTAAGATGGGCACCTAATGCCTATGTTAAATCAAGAAATACTCCATATATCACCTATTTTAGCTACAAAAACCTATTTTTCTTCAGTTGAGCCCGGGTCCAAAATTTGCGACCTAGACGTAAATTCGACAAATCAAAAAGAAGGCTTTGTGCCCTGCTAGAGACATGGATCAAACCCCATGCAATATTCTAGATTGATATGATAGAAAATACTAGGTATTCGATTGAACACGACAGTGTCACTACTTACTTTGCATAATACTTCTTTAACACCTCATTATGCCCATTGAATTGCCGTATAAGGTAGTTTGTAGATGGATATAAACCACTGTTTTCCGCTATGGCTTGCACATTGTCTGTGTCGGGGCGATATTAATTCATAAGATACATATTTGCAATGATCTATTTATAAGGTATGTATGTAACGTATATTGCTTTGTTAATATATCTGTATATAGACAGTGACATTAGAAGTGTTACACCCAAAAATAATTCCTTCGTATTGATTTTCTGGCAATGAGGTAGTCTTAGATCAAGAATGAAACGATAACATTATCACAATTTTTTTTTGACAATAAGAAAAAATTAAAAATGTGTTGGGCGACCCCGTAGCTGAGTACACTCCTGTATACGTCTAAGCAAGTAGTACTTCGTGGATTAGCTGTGGCAGAGTATGTGTCGGAGGGTTCAAAGTAGATAGTCTCATCCCCATCACATCCCACACATGTTCGATGGGATTTATGTCCGTTGATCGAGGCGGCCACGGCAAAACATTAATGCCTGCTTCTTGAACAAAGTTGCCGTTCTCTGCTCCAGTTCAAACGTTGACGACAGTGGTCAGCAGTCAGAGGAAGCACTAACCGTGGACGGTGTGGAAAAAGTCCAAGGGTTCTAATGCGGCGACAGAGTGTTCGCAGAGTAACGCGATCTGACGTATAGTAGCAAAAAGGTCTCGTAGGGCTAGTTTTCTGAAGCTCCTATCTTGACGCTCTGTGGTACGCCTCGGTGGACCAGTTGACCTTCTTCATGTTCCTGTACCTTCTTCTATCCACACTCCACACATGCATTAGAACAAACCAACATCTTGATAGGCAATAATTCTACCCCTGTCAAAGTCTCTAACATGATGACAATTTGGACGTCTTCGAAATCGAGGCATTTTGTTATGCTGAACACTAGTAAATGAAATGGCAATAACTAAAAATATATTTACTACTCAGCTCTCAGAAACTGCTTTGTTCACAAAAACTAAGAGATAACATTTTAACAAAGGTAAACAAAAACAAAGATAAAACGTTGACATTGTTGCCGCAGCATGCTTTGCATATATAGTCATTATGTTTCCAAAAAGCAAGTTCAAAAAATTATTTTTTCTATGTGTAACGCTTCTAATGTCACTGAGTATATACCATAATATGCAGGGTTTTCTCAAAGTTGAGACTTTTCTTAAGATAACCGAGATATTAGGCTCGGCACACTCGTACAGCAAGATCGAACTTGTCGACATGATTTTAATTTATGGCGAGTGTCTTCAAAATACTACCGAGGCTTCGGGAGTGTATTCAGATCGCTTTTCCAGGTGTTATCCTTCAAGGCCGTGTAAATTTGTTTACCCTGTGCAAAAAGCTAGGGAAACAGGTCGTTTTGCAGGAATGTTGAGGTGGGCACCGTTATTCTTTTTATCTTTTCGCTACTGATGTTTCACCACATATTAGCTATTAGCCTAGTAACTTCTTTAAAGGAAAGTCAGAACTTTCAGGGCACCCCGTATATACAGAGAATCTACGGAGAAAACAACTTTTCATGTTTCGTTTTACGAGTGGTTTATTTCTAAATACAACCCTGGTCGCGGCATCTCTAGCGCATGCGTGTGACACCGTTCGCGCCTTCTACTGGACGATGCATCGACTACAAAATTGATCGAATTCGGCGAAACCGTGACAATCAGACTACGCAGACGCAAGACCACGTTCAGGGTTGTATTTAGCAATAAAACGAAACACGAAGTTTTCTTTGAAACGTATACAGCATCATAGAAAACAGTTTCAGCAAAAGTTGTAGGGGTCCTAAGGGGCAAAATGATAGTGACCTTGAGACAATGACCTTGACCGACCTTTTTGGTCAAGTAAATATATTTTTAAATAAAACAGAATTGAAGAGGAAGACATTCTAGGTCCGAACATTACCTTGACTATGATCATGATCATTGCCTTCTAAGCCATTATAAGGTCAAAATTCATTTAATGAAGACATAGGAAACAATTTGTAATAGCAAAAATGTTCGATAGCACAGCTGTGAGGCTTGTGGTGAGCTTTATCATAACCTTGGCTATGACCTTCAAGGTCAAGTCAACATTTCTTAAGGAAACCTCTAGTTTTTATAGTGGTAATGGAAAAAGTAGGAAATTTTACGTCCGAGTGTCAAGGTCGTGTCAAGCTTACATGTTATTTGAGGTCAAGGTTATATTCATATGTAAAATTTTCTGCTTTTTCCAGTTCCAGTAGAAAATGAGAGGTTTCCTTTACAAATTTTGACTTTACCTGGTCAAAGTCACCTCACAACTGTGCTAGCGAATATTTTTTCTGGAGCAAATTATTTTCGGTGTCTATTTGACTTGAAGGCGATGGTCAATCTCAGGATCAAAGTGATGTTTAGGCGTAAACTTTGTGTCTCTTTTAAATTTCGATGTGTGATGTAGCAGCGGGCTTATATTTGACAATATTCACTTGAAATCACGTTAAAGGTCGAGGTCATTGTCAAGGTCACCGTCATTTTGTACCCTGCAACTTTGGTTCAAGACTTTTGTTCTAGAATGCGCAGTTTTCAAAATATTTAGGGGGGAGATTAAAATAGGTAGATAAATTAACAAAGAAACGTACGTAGCATACATACATTTATTATGAATATGATAACTGGAAATATTTGTCTTATAAATAAATATCGCACGGAGACAGACAGTATGCAAGTCATAGCGGGAAACAGTGGTTTATATATACAAACTACATTATACGGCAATTTAGTGGACATGCTGATGAATTCCCAAAAATATATCCTTTTTTATAAAATTATCTCTCTTAGCTAAGTAGTGACACTGTCATTTTCAATAAAATGCTCACTAATGTCATATTCTGCTGTCGTTCTTTTTGATTTGACAAATTTGCGACTATATTGCAAATCCTTCTTTTCGATTGGTCAAATTTGCGTATAGGTTGTGACCAGTCTCAAATGAAAAAATAGCTTTTTGTAGCCAAATCAGGTGATATATGAAGCATTTCTTGATCTAATATACGAATTACAGTCAATAGTGAAATCAGTCCAAAATTACGATACTGGTAAGCGGTTTTCCTGAACTACTGTTTGAACGACACTGTTAAATTAAAAAAAAATGAAAGTCAAGTTTCTAGAACGTGCCTCACATGGAAAACAATCAACTCATTTAGATCGCCAGGGATGGAGCAACCCCTACTCGATATTGACAAAAACAGTTACATCCTGTATCTTAATTTATTCATATCACTTGATTAAGTTTTAGATTCAAGTTTGGCTAGTCTCTGTGATGTGAATCGATAGGTACGATATTGAAGTACGTAGTAGTATCACTGATTTCAGTTAAATGGAAAAGCGGCAGGGTTATTACGTAAAAAATCTATATAAATAAAAAAAATGTCACTTTCCCTAATACTTAATATCCCTGGATCTTTCGCTACGGTAGTACGATCCGAATTCTGCTGTTTGTCAGGAAAGCAGCTAGAATTTGTTCAAGTTATTTGTAATTTTTTTGTGTGCAATAAAAACCATTTATTATTATAATTATTTTCGCCGTTACTATATCTGTCCGTATATCATTTAGACTCAATCTACTTGACTTTTTTTCAGGCAATTGGTACTTTGATGAAGAGAAAGGGGAAATACCACTATGCGGGAATTCTTCAGGTGCAGGGCAGTGTAAGCCTGGTTACATGTGTCTTCAAGGATATGGTGACAATCCTAATTATGGCTACACTAGCTTCGATACCTTTGGATGGGCCTTTCTGTCTGCCTTTAGATTAATGACTCAGGATTATTGGGAAAATTTATACCAGCTGGTGAGTATCATATATTCTGACTAGTTATCAGTTGGTTTCTTTTTGAAATTGGTATTAAAACTACACTCTTCAATAATATGTACACCGTCCGATCATTTATGAAAAACAATTTCACTGAAATGGCTGCCGCGGCAGTAGTCTATCCTCTTAACTCAATTTTGAATCACATTTTCGATAGTTTGTGGGTCTGTTTCATAAATAGTTCCACAGATATTTTCCTCAAGAACATCAATTGTTTGAGGATCGTTAGTGTAACAGCGTTCCTAACAGTACCCCATAGGAAGTAATCCATGGGCGTCAAATCACAGCTGCGGGCTGGCCAACAAGCGTCTACAAAACGGCTGATAACGGGATGACCGAACTTTGCGTGCTGGACCCAGAGATTGTGCAAGTGCATGTCGTCTAATAGTGGCCACAAAAACTCCTCAACATGTCTCTATAGCGTTCCCCGTTTACCGTCACGCTGCTACCATCTTCATCCAGAAAAAAGTAGGGACCAATAATCCCACCACACCAAAGTCTCTTTTTGGATGCATAGGCTTTTCTATGACGACATGTGGATTTACAATTGATTTAGAGCCCACACAGAGAAACGATATCGTAGCGGATGGTCATTTTGTTTCAACTCTTGCACAAGTTGCACATTGTAAGGAAACAATCCCAGGTCGTTATACAATATTCTCTGCACAGAAGTGCGATTGATGCCCACTTGTTGTGCTCTGTGACGAGTTGACATTATTGCGTTTTCACGCACACTCTAGGCAACAGCAGCAATGTTTTCGGCTGTACGTACGGGTCGAACACGCTCATACCTTCTGTTATCCACAAGCAGGCCAGTTTCACGAACCTTCTTCATGAATTTTGTATACCAGTCGCAGACGGAGCTTCATTTCGACCGAATAGTCTTCTCAATTTTCGCAAAGTTTCTACAACACAGTTTGAAAATAGTTTATCAATATTTCCCACCTTTGTTCAAGATTGCTCACAGCGCAAGTTTGACACAATATATTTGTCAATATGTTGAGCATGGAAGTGTTACCAGCTGTCAAAATAATACCAAATTAGAAAAACCAACTGATGGCCCACCCTTCACAATGAATTTTATACGTATTTTGTCTTTTGACAGCCTAACTTATGGTCAAAAACCAAGACGGAAAAAAGTAGCGTAACGCACCCTATGACTATTAGCGCGGTTTCTCTTGGTATGTAGACTGAGATCTGCATACACTCACACAAGGACACACCCGGTTAGCAGTTGTGTACCATGAGTTATGATACTTTCTTCCATTTTGGTATATATTTTCACACAACTAGTTAAAGGCTCGAGAATTTGGGACCTTAATGATAGAATTTTATTTCTTTTGCAGGTTTTGAGATCGGCTGGCCCATGGCACATGTTATTTTTCATCGTTATAATATTTTTAGGATCGTTTTATCTAGTTAATTTGATATTAGCTATTGTCGCTATGTCGTACGATGAGTTGCAGAAAAAAGCTGAAGAGGAAGAACAGGCAGAAGAAGAGGCAATCAGAGTAAGTAATTTTCCATGTTCCCAATAAGTATGATTCCTCCTTAAATAGCTATTTGTGATTATGATAAGCATCAAAAGTAGCGTCCGACACTAATTTAAAGGTACGTTTTAGCCTAAATGCCGGGACACCGCGGCTGCTATGAGGATCCCAAATTTTGGTAATCCGATTTTTGAACTGCCTAAGGTTAGTAGAACTGGGAAAAGCTTCCTCTTGTAGATTGTTCTACAATCCCGACACCCTCGGGACAAAGGAGCGGTCGTATGAGCGCTAGGACGCTTCTTTGTTCGTCAAGGTACAGTTCTGTGTTTTGGAGCATTAGACTGTACAAGATTGTTGCGTCCTCAAGCAGTGATAACCTCTAGTCTTATTTTTTCCAGCTCAGCGAAAGAGATCGGCTTGTCACTCTGAATTACTGCATGTAGAGTGCTGTCATTGGCCAAGCTGTGGATTGGGTTGATCGTGCAAGGAAGGAGCTCGTTGATATATAAGAGGAACAGTGTCGGAGCCAAGACCGATCCCTGGCGAACACCCACGATGACGTTGTGGGATGTAGACGAGAACCCGTCAATTACGACGGATATCTTGCGGCCATAGAATGGAACTTTGCATAAGATGGCAGCGTGCCACAGCTGATCGAACGCTTTCGTGATATCACAAACAACGACATAAGCCTCACCATAAGACTGGATGAGTTTACTCCAGAATTGCGTGACGTAAGCTAGGAGGTCCCCTGAGGATCGTTGGTACCGGAAACCATACTGCCTGTCGCTAATCCAGCCGTGACGTTCGAGGTAGTACAGAAGCTCGCGATGTATGCACCTCTCCATTACCTTACCTATAACAGAAAGCAGAGCTATAGGCCTGTAGTTGTAAGGGTCGGCCGTATTGTCAGTCGTTCTTACAATTGTAAGACGCCTTTACGTCATCATATATCATCGGTTACATAGTCCGGATCTTCTTGATGTCGAGCGACAAGAGCACCAGTCTTACGTTCTTATGCCTGAATGTTATCTCCCGCATAGTGTAGGGAACCCATGGTAGAGTAGGCAGCAAAGATCTTGGCAAGCACTTCCGCCTTGGCCTTGAGTCTGTTACAATCGTTCCACCCTGACACGTAAGTAGTGTGGTGCTGGTCTTTGCATTGCGAACCGCTTCGTTATATTTGTTTCTGGACTCAACGCCGACTTGTCTGTTCTCTACTCTGGGGTTTTCTAAGAAGGTTCTGTGTGCCTTGATCTTCTGTTGGCGAGCAGTGTCACACGATTTTTTTATAGAATACATATTTTTTAAATGTTTAGTTGAGAATAAAATGGGACACCCTGTGTAGAGTTAGTAGTTGAAAAATGATATACATACCTCGTTTGAGAATGTCACTATTTTTTTCGCGCGCATTAAATCCCCCGGCGCTATGTACATCAGGTTATAAAAAACCTCGTCCAATAGTTTCTCACTTCTCAAACTAGGTATGTAATGTACTATTACGTTGTGGATGACCACAATAAAATAAAGACATACGTTACTAGCCGCGGAAAGAAAAAACGATGCTAATATGCATTTAAACTTACCCATTGCCCTTTTGAGTACAAAACAAAGATGATAATAATTTACTGTCCAACAGCTTAACACTATTTGCAGAGCAATCAATCATGAAAAAAACATGAGGTATTTTGTAAAAAAAGCAATTACAAATTTCATAAATCAATACAAAACAATAACAGAAACGAAGTAAATGTGACGTAGTTTGCACTTCAATTCGCGTAAGTTACAAAAGTATGTCGTATACGTCGGTTATTCTATTAGCATTCACACATATCATATCCACAGGCGCTTTCGAAAGTAAGTTCGTTTGAGATCTTTGGCATAAAAAAAAGAACATTATATCTAGGTGTTAGTCGTGACACCAGAAACTGCATTTATGAAAGTACTGTGGGACAATCTAATAGATTATGCAACAGTTGATACAAAACTAGAATTGCTAATTGCTTAACGCCGCTGTTCTAAGGATTGAGAGCCAAATCTATAAAGGAGGTGTTATATGTACCTCTAATAGGATATATGCCATCAATCTTGAAACACAAGCATTTTAATGATTTCTTTTGAAGTTTATCAACAGCATCAATATATTATTTGTGAATCGGACTCCATATCAGGGAGCCTTAATCAAGCTTAGACCCAACCAAGCTAATTTTTTTTTTTTTTTATATATCGAAACAGCCGCGCAGGCAGAAGCCTAAATGCCGGAACACCGCGGCTGCTATGATGATCCCAAAGAAATTTTGTTGATACGATTTTTGAACTGCCTAAGGTTGGTAGAACTGGGAAAAGCTTCCTCCCGTAGATTGTTCCACAATCTAGACACCCTCGGGACAAAGGAGCGGTCGTATCGGCCAGTTCTGGATGTACGAAGTTTGACACGGTTAGGATGGGACGCCGAAGTCAGGCGGGTCTGTCTGGCAGGCACATCGCGCGGCGGCATCATGGAAGAGAGCTCTGAGGAGCAATGCCCGTTGGTGTAGCGATAGAAAAGAGCCAGATCGCCGACGACCCGCCGGTGCGAAAGAGTTCCGAGACTGTCTGTTAGAGAAGAGTCATCGATCAGTCGGACCGCCCTCCTCTGGACAGCATCGAGCATGGACAATGTAGTCGGGGCGGCAGCACCCCAAATGTGTGAGCAATACTCTAGGCTAGGCCTTATCTGGGCCTTGTATAGAGTGAGAAGGTCATGCGGAGAAAAGTACTTCTTAGCCCTAAACAAATAGCCTAGCTTTTTCCCAGCAGCTGCAGCTATTGAAGAGATGTGTTCGTGCCAGATCAGGTCCTCGGTGATCTGGACTCCGACCAGCCGAAATGAATGGCTCTTTGGTAGAACTCGACCGTCCATCGAAACTGTATGAGCGCTAGGACGCTTTTTGTTCGTCAAAGTACAGTACTGTGTTTTGGAAGCATTGAACTGTACAAGATTGTTGCGTCCCCATGCAGTGATAGCATCCAGGTCTCTTGTCAGAGAAGAAGTCGTCGCTAGTCTTCTTTTTTCCAGCTCAGCGGCAGAAATCGGCTTGTCACTCTGAATTCCTGCATGTAGAGTGCTGTCATCAGCGAAGCTGTGGATTGGGTTGATCGTGCAGGAAAGGAGGTCGTTGATATGTAAGAGAAACAGTGTTGGAGCCAAGACCGATCCCTGGGGAACACCCGCGCCGACGTTGTGGGATGAAGAGGAGAATCCGTCAATTACGACGGATATCTTGCGGCCAGAGATAAAGTCAGCAACCCATCTGCAAAGCTTTTCTGGGAGGCCATAGGATGGAAGTTTGCTTAAGAGGGCAGCGTGCCACAGCTGATCGAACGCTTTCGTGATGTCAAGAGCAACGACATGAGCCTCACCATGAGACTGGATGAGTTTACTCCACAGTTGCGTGACGTAAGCTAGGAGGTCCCCTGTGGATCGTTGGTGCCGGAAACCGTACTGCCTGTCGCTAATCAAGCTGTGACGTTCGAGGTAGTCCAGAAGCTCGCGATTTATGCACCTCTCCATCACTTTACTTATAACAGAAAGCAGAGCTATAGGCCTGTAGTTGTAAGGGTCGGTTTTAGATCCTTTTTTTGGGATGGGCTGTACATGAGCAAATTTCCAGTTTTCTCGGAAGGTGCCGGATTCATAAGATATCTGGAAGAGACGCGAAAGAACTGGAGCAAGCTCCGCTGCACATCTCTTCAGTACAATGGCAGGAATCAAGTCCGGACCAGAAGCTTTGTTGATGTTGAGCGACAAGAGCACTCGTCTTACGGTCTTATGCCTGAATGTTACCTCCCGCATAGTGTGGGGAACCCTTTGAATTGACGGCACTTGGGCGTTGGTGGGGACGTCCATGGTGGAGTTGGCAGCAAAGATCTTGGCTAGCACTTCCGCCTTGGCTTTCGAGTCGAATACAATAGTTCCATGCTGACACGTAAGTGGTGGAAGGCTACTGTGTGAGAAGTTATTTTCAATCTGCTTGGCCAGCGTCCAGAAAGACCGACTGCCATTGCGCTGCGACATTACCCTGTGCCTAACTTTTATATCATGCTGGTTTTTGGCATTGCGAACCGCTTCGTTATATTTGTTTCTGGACTCGACGTCGGCTTGTCTGTTCTCTACAGTGGGGTTTTGTAAGTAGGTTCTGTGGGCCTTGATCTTCTGCTGGCGAGCAGTGTCACACGATTTGTTGAACCAGCCGTTGGACCCTGGTTTAGGAACTTTCACTGTGTGAGGGATGTATTCCTCCATTCCGACGTGGATAATTTCGGTTATTGAAGAACAGACAGTCGACGCATCCGCGTCAGTGAAACAGACATCTCTCCAAGGAAAGCTAGAGAAGAAGTCTCTGAGCCCCTCCCAGTCGGCATGTCCGTAATGCCAAGTTTTGCGGCCTGTGCGAGTTTCTGCTGCCACAGCGGCTTCTGACCGAAACCTAACCTCCACAACACCGTGATCTGAGTTACCCAGGGGGGACAGGACAGCAGTGCTGTAAGGGGCAGGATGCGTGGTCAGAAAGAGATCCAGCAGGCTACTGGCGTGTGACGAGACGCGGGGGAAAAAAGTAGGGCTCGTGACCAGCTGGGTCAGCCCTTGAGTAAGAGCGAACGCTTCGACTGCACGACCTGCTGCATCGGTCTTATTTGAGCCCAACCAAAGCTCATTATGGGCATTGAAATCACCGAGAAGAACTACCTCTGAAGCGGGGTGATTGATGTTCAGGAAGTCGATCTGGACGGCGAGGTATTCGAGTAGGTCATCCCAGTTATGGTGCGAGGGAGAGCGATAAAGGCAAATAAAGCAAATAAATTTGGGTGATGTTTTGGAGCTGAGGCGAAGCCACAGAATGTCCTTCCGGTCTGATTCCAAAGAAAGATCCCTGGAGCAAGAAAGTCTGCTGCGGACAAAAGCCACAACTCCCCCGTTCTTTCTCAGATTGGAGTGCACCTCGTAGTTTGGGAAGTTGAGATGTAATGTATAAAGTCTGTAGATAACAATCGTTAAATTCCTGATAACAAAGCCATAGGTTTTGAGAGCGCTTGTAATAGTTTGATCAATATGTTCGTTGCAACAATTGTTGATCAAAATAGATGCATAAATCTTTAACAGTTTCTCTACGCTCAAGAACACGTTCATCCATTGTATAATTGTATAAGAAGGCGTTGGTTTTCCTATTATTTATTACTACGCAAACATATAAAATTATTGTAGGAGGCAGAAAAAGCAGCACAAGCAAAGCAGGACCGCGCAGACGCTCGTGCGGCAGCAGCTGAAGAAGCACGTGAAGCTGCAGCAGCAGCTGCGCTTGCAGCTGAAGCTGGGCCGGACATTGTCAAGTCGCCATCGGACTTCTCCTGCCACAGCTACGAACTGTTCGTGGGCCAGGCCAAGGGACACGACGACAACAACAAGGAGAAGATGAGCATTCGATCTGAAGGACTTGATTCTGTGAGTGAGCAGAGAAGAATACCTACTAATCCCACCAAGATGCGGAAAGTCAGCGCTGTAAGTGTCCTGATATTTATTGCCCTAGTAGAGTTGGAGTTGTAGACGAGGAGAAAACATTGCGTTCCTGGTAGGTATTTTCGACTAGATTTTTTTTTCAGAATCACGTTTGTTCGATGCCATTTAACATGGAATAAGAAGCTGACGGGAGGTAACCCCGTGCAAATTTGCTTAAACAATTTTTTAAACGTGATTATTTCGCTCCGGCCATTTTTTGGGATTTTTTTATCATTCTGTACAAAAATGGATCTTAACTACATTGTTCTCAAGTTGACCGTTTTCGAGATATATGGGAATTAATGTCTGCTAAATTATATACTACTTTTGAGGCTGCCAAGTGTTAAAGTTCAAGCCTTCCCCTACAAGACTGTGAATGGTATTGCTTAACGCTTCATTTACTCGTATTTTATAGCATTGTTATTTGCTGGTCAACAACATTGGGCAGTGATAATGTAGTCGTGGAGGCAGCACCCCAAACAGTACTCGAGGCTAGGCCTTATCCGTTCCTTGTACAGAGTGAGGAGTTTATGCGGAGAAAAGTACTTCCTAGCCCTAAACAATTTGCCTAGCTTTTTCCCAGCAGCTGCCGCTATTGACATGCCTGATCAAGTCCTCGGTCCTCTGATAGAACTCAGCCATCCATCAAAGCCGAATGGTACACGGTACAGTACTGCGTTTTGGAAGCATTAAACTGTATCAGATCGTTGCGCCCCCAACGAGTGATAACCTCCAGATCTCTCGTCAGAGAGGAAGTCGCTGCTAGTCTTCTTTTCTCCAGCTCACCGGCATAGATCAGCTTCTCACTCTGGATTCCTCCATGATTGGTCATACAGGGAAGGAGGTAGTTGATATGCTAAAAAAACAATTTCTGAGCCAAGATTGAACCCTGGAGAACACCCATCTTCAAAGTTTCTCTGGGAGGCCATAGGATAAAAGTTTGCATAAGAGAATAGCATGCCACAGCTGATTGAACGCTTTCGTCAAATCCAGAGCAACGACATGAGCCTTTAAGGCTTGATGAATTTTCTCCACACTTGCGTGACGTTAGCCCATTTCTTCCCCTCTCCATCACCTTACTTTTAGACTTATAACCTGGAAACGGTCCACTTTGTTTGTTCAAAATTTTTGTAGATTCTTTAAAAAATGGCTTAAACAAATTTGCACTCAATCCCTTGATTCATGTTAAGATCGAACAAACCTGATTATGAATAAAATTGAGTCCGAACATGTGTACCATGGATGCGAATTTTTTGCCTCGTCTATTGGGAAAAGTTGGGTATGTATATGTATAATATGAGTAATTACTGCGAAATGTCAACCGATGTTAACTCAGAATATACCAAAAATTAACCTGCCGGGTATTACGCAAAAAACCGATATCATGTCATTAAAAATCGGTGCAGTGTCAACGTGTGTACTAAATATTCGCTACCCCAGTCCGCACTTACTTGGTATGAACGGCGCCTATGGAGCAAAATCACAACGATTGTCATTTCGGCGACAGTATATAACATTCAGCCTATACCTCAGAAGTTATTAATGGACTTTACTGATCCCATGTCTGAAGCAGAAGTTACAACACATTAGAGCCAAGCCATAGTGTCATCACGTTTAGGCGACATGCACAGCTACTACAAGTGAGCTTGACAAGAATGACAGCCAGTGTCAGGGTGACATTTTTTGGGAAAAACCTACGTACTGCCATTAAAAATCGATATAATGTCAGTTTATTGACCATATTTTAACTCCACCTTTTCTCAACTTATAATGTATTGGCATAATACATATGTGCAAATGATTCCTTTTAAAGTATTTTCTCCCAAATATCTCAATGTCTGGATCGATGACAATAAAACCATAATCCATTTATCCAAGAAAGAAACTAAAGGCAAACACATCCATGCTTACTTCACGATATCGGACTCCAGAAAGTCCCGCACGTTACAGGGTCGCCGAGGCTGCATGCACCGCCGTGTCATCTCCCACTCCACCTTCCTGGTGGACGATTCTGCCCAATAACAGTTATGCGCCTCGTTGCTTGAAGTATATCAACGTGCTAATCACGCACTGAACATGCGCTGGTGTTTGTCTTGGTTTAATTTATTTTTTGGATAAATGAACTTTTTGAAAAAAGTAAAATGATAGTGCAACAACCTCCTACAGGTTAGAAATCACCCTGAAGGTAGAGGTGGAAAATTGGAAAAATGCTGGACTGGCAAGGTAGAAATTATCGAGCTTTAGTATATTCTTAGCTAATATCCTTTGACAAAATGTGATACTCATACTTTGCATATTCGACTTCCCACAGCGCCTGCTCTATAGCAAAATTTCCGGAATATGACCTCTGTCAATGTGAATGACTTTCCAATTTTGTTCTTCATGTCAGGACGTGGGTCGCTAGATTTTCTCTATTCTTGAGCAATCATGAAGCCAAAACCTCAGTTATGTAATTCCGCAATATAGTCCTGGCGAGTTAGTCTGGCAATATCAGAAAGTGGTGGTATCACCGGGGAGAGGTCAGGGGAACAGATTTGTTTGGTATATTGGTAAAATCGCCCTCAATGACAAAGTACCTCGAGAAGTAACACATGCAACAGGTCTATTTTTGGACTTGGTACAATGTATGGAAACTGGATTGTGAGGAATACTTATGAGGTATGGACATTCTGAGGTGTCGTTGGTCCCTCAAAGTAGGTCTGAATTTGTACCTAACAAGATTCTCGAAGTACCTAAGACTTTGCTAAGTATTTCAAGTAGACAACCAAATTACTTGCACCACCTTACGACTAGTGGCCTACGTCCAACATTGATAAAAACTTTTGTATGGTCTTTCTTGATCTTTCATAGTGAAGTATATTACTGAACTTGTTACACACCTACTTCCGATATTCCAGTTAGAGACTATAATAAAATCTATGATCTAGACCAGAGCATTAACACCTTTTTCTACCGATCATCACTCATGCCCTGCAAAAGGTTACTGGTTATATTTCACTACATTTCTCATCAATATTATTGTCATGCCTGGTCACCGTTCTAACGGTAAACAAGTTCCGAAATGATCTGAGTTACCTGACAAACCACACTAATAAAAATCATGACAATTATAGTGTTTAGACTTAGTTTGTTCAGGCATTGGCTAGTTTTCTGTATAAAATTACCAATGTTGGAACAACAACTTAGCACATTTTTTCATTTCTCTTCTTGGCACTTACAGAGCTTTTTGGGTTTCCAGTACACTGTACACTTACAACCATTTTTCACATTATCTTACACCTGTACATCACACTGGTTCATGCTTCCATACCATAGACCAAAGCGGTAGCATAAACCATTGTGAATAGAATGATTCAGGGTCTTTTTGCCTTCGAGCAAAAGCCTCTTAAAATAGCAATGTATGCTTGACACATCGTATGCTGTACACATGACATTCAACATCTTAAGACCTGATAAAAAAAATGTATGAACGTTGGCCCAGAAATGCTTTTCCTTCATAGATGCTATGTAACTTGTCTTTGATTGAAGAGAAGAGCCACATGGAATTTACATAGTTACTAAAAATTAAAACGCTTCAACTGCGGTTCAAATGATCTCTATCTTAAGTATTTTGGGTCGCTAATACCAAATCCGAAGTCGTTTGTCGTTCATATTCTATTATTTAGTGAAACATTGCAAAACTATGCGACATTTGCGACTCTAGGGTGCTAAAAATCAATTTTCTTTATCTGTGGATATATGCGAAAGATGCTTTGTGCATTCAGGAAATTTGGAGCACTAAATGTGAATATCATCGTGACGAAATAATGGTAAAAAACTTTACCTGGACTCACCCGTGAATCCTAGCACTAAATTGACATCGAATTCGGAATCTACGTACCCGATTTACCTATGAAAGGAGCTTCTGTCCTGAATATTTGACACATTGCTTCCTTGTATCATACGTAAATTTAACCCAATAGTCTTTTGAATAAACTTTGTGTCAAGGAAGTCGACTCTTTATCTCGCATAATTTTTTTGATCGATTTTTTCTAAATCATAGTTCATATGCCGTTATATCTGGAAATAAATCGAATATAATCTAATAGATGGTAGAAAAGCGTGAAAGCACATTTTTACCCTACTTGATGCCATTTTTTTGCTGAATATAAGGTTTAAACAACCCGCATTCTGAAAATGCGAAATATCTGGGCCAAGTTTATTCTTCTATCTTCTAAGTCTTACCAAAGTTTTGTTTGTATAATAGTCAGAGTGGTTGAAAAGAAAACTTTTTGAGTAATAGTACTTTTTTATTGGTGAAACGTGTAACGTTATTTAGACTACAGCATACCGGCCCACTCAATACACACATACTATTTTACTTCTAAAATGCAATTCACATCGAGCTTTTCTCTGGCTGTCAGCGATATAAGGGCGTAATAGCAAGGACAATATGAACCCATACTTATCAGCAATATAAGCAAAATATTCAGAATCTAATATTATAATATGCTGAAACATCCTGAATGAACTTGCTACTACTCTCTTAGTAAAATTACAGGAGGTTGCAAATGCAAGGGAGATTTCATGGAATGCTTTGTTATGTTAATATCTTTCTGGGAAAAATAAACTCGTTTACTTGCAGTTGCATAACCTGTATTACGAAATTATGCATGTTGAGGTTAAAAAATCTACTGGAGCAACCTTTCTGTTAAGTTTCCTGTCATTTTTCTATCTCTGATTTGAAGTCCTTATATGACCAATGCTTTGTAGGTCCACCATCAGGCACATCAATCCCTTAAATGATGAAAAACCTCATTTTTCTCCGCGTCAAAAAACCCAATCGCTACTCGCTGCCTGTTCAGGCATTTATCGTCCGCTGGCCGTCTCTCAAGACATCTCCGTGGTAACGTTATTCCACTAATACATTTTATGATCTGCAACAGGTACTTTCGGTTGAGATGTCAGGCAAAATTGTTATAAACTTTACATTTGAACGTCTTTGCTTCTAACAATTTACAAGGTCGACTAGCCTGATGGTGGACCTATAAAGCCTTACACCCATAAGGACTTCTTAGATCAAGATAAAAAATTTACAATAGGATATCTTTTCAGAAAGTTTAACAGCTCTCCAAGATGTCATGTACTCATATTGTTTTATAACCCTTTATACTAAGAGGTTCATGTTCAATTGAGCGAAGATGTATAACTACTACCAAAACCCATACACGTTTTATTACTAGTGTCCGACCGAACTTTCGGTTTCAGCCAGTTTCTATATACGAGGGATGTCCCTTAAGTTTTGCATGTAGAAACATAGGAGGCCGCGCAGATCGAACGTCAGTACTGAATCTTAACCTCACTCTTTAGTAAACTTACATTCAAAGTTTCACAACAATACGTGCAGTGTTCTCACTACAGTGAATTTTTAAGTGTCACCAAGTCATTAGAAAAATGGAACTCAACCGAGAACATTTTCGTGCAATAATTTCTTACAACTTTCAGAGACAATTTTCACAATAAGAATGCCTTGCTGAGTTACTGTCTGTTTTCGGCAACGAAGCGCCACATCATTCGATAATTTCTCGTTGGTATGGAGAATTCAAACGTGGACGGGTGAGTCTTAGTGACGATCCCAGGGTGGGTGCACCAAAAACGGCAGTCACCCAGGAAAACGTCGATGCTGTGCGCAAACTCATCATTGAAGATAGACATGTGACATATCGCGAGATTGAGGCGTCCTTGAAGATCTCAAAGACCTCAATTCAAAAAAATTTACATGAAGAATTAGGAGTAAGAAAATTAGTTTCTCGTTGGATACCCCACCTGTTGACTGAAGAGCAGAAAGCAGCCAGGGTTAATTGGTGTCAAAAAACGCTTGTACCGTTTCAATTCCGGAAACTCAAAATTGTGTACAGCATTGTTAGTGGTGATGAATGGTGGATTTACTGTTATGAACCAGAAAATAAACGACAGTCGGCTGTTTGGGTGTTCCAAGCTGAAGAAAAGCCAACAGAAGTCATCCGTTCTCGAAGTGTTTCGAAAAAGATGGTCACGACATTTGTGTCAAAAGCGGGTCATATTGCAACAATTCCTCTTAATGATCAAAGAACTGTTACTGCGGATTGGTATACCACCATTTGTTTGCCAAAAGTCATCACCGAGCTTCGACAAATCAACCCCGAAAGAAGAATCATCCTCCACCAAGACAATGCAAGCTCGCACACAGCCCAAAAAACAAGGCAGTATTTAACTGAAGAAAACGTGGAATTATTGGACCATCCTCCATATAGTCCCGATCTAAGTCCTAACGATTTCTTTACTTTCCCGAAAATTAGAAACAGACTACGTGGTCAAAGGTTCCAGTCACCAGAAGAAGCAGTTGACGCATTCAAAAATGTCGTTTTGGATCTGCCAGCAAACGAGTGGAATAAGTGCATCGAAAATTGGTTCGAGCGCATGCAGATGTGTATTAATCTTCGTGGAGAATACTTCGAAAAACAATAAAGTCATTTAAAACTACCTACCGTGTTGTTTTATTTCCATATGCAAAACTTAAAGGACACCCCTCGTATTTAACCTGCATAAGTTAAACACAGTTCACAAAATTTTAGACAGTGTTGTTACTTGTGCAATAGAAATCTTAAATTAAACTAGGTTTCCTTCTAAACTAAGATTAGTTTTGTTGAAACAGGCCATAAGTTGTGATTTTTGTTTGATTGTCAGTTTGTTTTACGAAATGCTGGAAACAAAAAGACATTATTCATTTTTTGTTTTAAGAGACAAATCTAGAACTGTTTTAGTTTTCTTTACCCAAGTCTTAATAATATTTGATAAAGATATATTACATAGAGTTTGTTCTTTTCTTCAATAATATTAGTTGATAAAGACTCAGTTTGTGTTTTCTTGCAGCTGCACTACTATCGTACCTCCCAACCTCGCAAATCATACTCCTCAGCTGGAAGTTTCGGTTTCGGCTGAAACTAGAAATGGACCGAAATACTAGTTTCGGTCGGACACTATTTATTACCTTCGTACTATGATTCATGCATAATTTCGTACTTCTACTGTTTCACCCAAATGGCCAATGGACACATATGCTCTTAGCACCACGAGGGTCATAATTATTGTCTGAAACACGTATAGAATATTTCGAATGTCCAGGCAAGTCTCAGCCTTCCTGGGTCCCCCTTCAATCTGCGTCGAGGCTCCAGAGGAAGCCACCAGTTCACGTGTATGCGTAGCAATCGGCGAATGGTGCCACCGCCTGGAGACCGCAAGCCCCTGGTACTATCCACTTATCTAGATGCTCAGGAACACCTTCCATACGCCGATGATTCCAACGCTGTTACGCCCATGAGCGAGGAAAATGGGGCCATGGTGGTGCCCATTTACTATGCTAACCTGGGTAGGTATCGAAACACTGGTAAAGCAAAATCCTAGAGCTGCCAGAGTAACGCCACTTCGTAACAGTTATCGAAATAAGACCGCCCAAAATGCCATCTATTACCAGAATCGACCACTGCGAGAGTAAAAACAGCAATATGTCTATTGGAACTGTATTTCAGTTCGCATTTGTTACACTGATAAAATGTGGTCACTTGAACAATTGTTCTGGAAAATTTGCGTTACCCGTCATGTTTTTTTTAATTATTCTAACTAAATTATTCGGTTTAAGCTGAATTTTCTGGAAACAGGTCAATTGAAAGTAATATACTATTAAACTAATTTGCTTGAGAACATCAAACCATGTACATGTTTCATTAAACTGTTTAGGTAATTTAGATTATATAGGAAAGGTACATTTAAGACAATTGAACATTTTAATGACAACAGTGAAACTGTTTATTTGAAGCGCGGACTCGACATTAGTGAATGATCTGGAGTATGCGACAGGCTCAGTGGCGGTGACGCGCTTCGAACTCCGCAGTTCCATTTGTTATTATATAATAATTGATCCCATATATAATACTCGTAAAATCACAATCAGTGACAATAAAAAATTCAGAATTTTGTTACCGTTATAAAAACTGAAAATTTTTATTTTGATTCGAAACCGTCAATTATCAATTTCAAGTTATCCAAATTTTTTTTATATCTAAGTCTTGCCAGAGCACTATTGTAATGCACATCTTTTAGTACAGTGCAATTTGTTCGTTTAAATTCCAAAAATCTTTTTAATAAAAATAATGTTTATTCCACTAACTACAATTTGCTGGTGAGGCAATCAGGTATAATAAACGTAAGAAAGAAAAACATAATACGTGACTTCGATATAATCCATATCAGTGTTTTAGATGAATATGCTTTTTAAAGGCCGTTGAATCCAAAATGGTTGGCTATACACGGGCAGATTTTTTTATGATTTTAATATTGAGTTTTGCTTAGAGCAAAATGCTAGCACATATAAATTGTAACTAGCGTTGTACGATTATTAGTAAACAATTTCTACTGGCTTTCTTGTCTCTTGTCTACCAATTAAAAAAAATATATTTTTCGAATAAAGTTTTTATCAAAGACGATGAGTTTTGTGTTATCATTATCATACGGTACATGTATGTCAGAAAATTATAAATCCTAAATGATAGCTAGGTGTGGCATCGTAAGCTTAAATTTCTCTGAAAAGTTTGTATTTTTAAGTTTTCTTTTTGTTTATGTCTACCATAAGCATGACTAACTTTATTGAAGTTATTTTTGTGTTTTTACATGAATTGAATTAGTTGATGCCGAAGCAGTTGTCTAAGGTCAAACACCCCAGTCTCTGAAAATAATTTATCAGAATCTAAAATTAATCAATTCATCAAAACTAGGCAAATACCTTTACATAAACTAATTAAACAAATTTAATGAATATAATTGAATTGTTTCATTTGGAAAAGGTAAACTCGATTTAACAGTTGAAATTTCAAATAAATTGGTGCTTCAATCTAAGTAACCGGTTTATTGAATAGATTCAAGTAGAGTGCTTTAGAAATCGAGTTTTATTAATGCTAGCTTCCACATAATTTTTTTTAATTGGTTTAATTAACCACCACTGTGGCCGCTAGATGCTGTCGATTATAGCATCACAGTAGATGCGTTCTCCTCGCCATTAAACAATCTAGCAATATATTTTTCGTTTGTCTGACCACAGACGGCCAACCATGGACAGCTGTTTTGTGTTATTTGGCAACTCATCAGCATGATCTGGTCTCAGTTCTAGGTAGGAAAATGAACAAAAGCTACGCAAATGTCCTCTATCCCGGATATAAGGTCTATCGAAATAAGCGGTCGATTCTGGTGATAGATGGCACTTTACGCGGTCTAATGGTACTCCCACCTGACCATTCGGTTTGTATAATTTTAATCGTGGTACATCCAGGTTCCCGTCATTCATCCTACACGTCACACGCGTCCAGGATGTCCTATACTTCCCACGGCGATCTTCTGGGTGGTTTAGGAGGAAACGGTAAAGTGATGACCAAGGAAAGCCAGTTGAGAATCAGGTCCATGCGAAATGGCCCCACAACCACTGCTCCTACGAACAACTACACTGAATATGCTCACAGAACAAAAGGAGATTACGTAAGTATCTCTTTTAAAGCTTTTAGTTCACAATGAGGCCCTTTTTTCCAAACTGATCAATGCCAGGCTACTGTTCAATAATAACAAACAACATCCTTAGGTCGTCATTTCTTCATTATGTCTGGACATTCGGTAAGTAAAATCGACGTTTCTGGGCTAAGCTAATCTATGTGGGCATCCCACGCACATACTGAAAAGGCCTCCCTGGGGTATACAAAATTGTGGCGTCCTATGTCCTATGTATGGGATGACGCGGGATGTCCTTAGGATGTTCCTCTTCCTGATTGAGGAGGGAGCCTTGACTTTCTGTGTCGTATCACCACCGACTTTAATAGTTTGGGGTGGCAGATGGCCCAGTTTTGAAAAGCCTATAGAGAAGACTGATCAAATAGTCCCTAAGTGATGTGATCTTGACTGATTACAAATTCTCCGATTCAAGAATAAGCAGTTGTCGGTACAGGGCTACCATGAGCTACTGTGGAGAAGGGGGCCTACATTAGAAGACAAGCCTGTGCTATTGATTTTTAACATTTCTCTAATTTTAACTCAATATTACTTTTGCAGGATGGACCAACAGGGTTGTGTGAGGGCAAACTGAAGCACACTGACAATCCATTTATAGATAATAACCAAAGACAAACTGTGGTTGATATGAAAGGTAAGTTATTACATACTGGACAAACTTGTTTTCCCTTTTAGAATTCCATGTATACAAGAGAGAGAGGGAGAGAAGTGAGGGAAGCGTTTTAGTAAGAGTGCATCATATATCAGCGTCGTCGCCGCGTTGCCTAGTAAAGGCAGTGGGGAGGGCGCGGAGCACAGCTGTAACTCCTCCCCTACTGTCGTTGCTAGGCGACGTAGTGATGATGCTTATAGTGCGCACTCTTTCTGACATACGTGTTGCATGGTGTTGTGCGCTTCTCTCTCTCTCTCTCTTTCTCATACACATGGAAATCTAAAAGGGGAAACGCCTTTGGCTATCATTGTATATCATACTATCCTACATTACATATACTGGAGCACTCGAAAAGAGCTTAGAATTGCCAGTGTTGAGATAGAAGGTGAATTAATTCTTTATCAAATCAAAAAATACCTATAGCCAAGTACTGAAGTGGAAGAGAGTAATGTAAGGCATCGTACTACATTGCTAATGCGGAATTTTTTTGAAAACGTGATCTGCACTTACGTATTATCTGCCCAGCGAGAGAATGCAAGACAAAGGAATTTAGGCACAAAATAGCGATGTTGTCAAGCATTGTGCATGGGCTGTAAGTTAATATACGAGGTCTGTCAATTAAGTGATGGAACTGCATCCATTATAAACATATTTTTTTGCAGATGTGATGGTCTTGAACGACATTATTGAACAAGCAGCTGGTAGACAAAGTGGAGCCAGTGAGCACGGAGGTGAGACTCACAAAATATCATTTTTTTCAATATTCATCCTCATTTTGTGATCAGTTAATTATATCAACACCATCGCAATTTGCTAACTAGTAATATTGCCTAGTGTAAGCACTATTTAGCATCATTTATCATCTCGATTGTTAGAACAACAACTAATGTTTGTTTATTTACTATTTTAACTGTATGGAGGGATAAAATATCGTAATTAGGTAACTAAACTATGTTGTAATAAACGCTGCACAATTGTTGTATACTAGCACTAAGTTTTATAGGATTTATCCATAGTTGCTATATAACGGATCTTTCCAGATACTTTTGAGCCACAGTCAGGGTTTCATGATGAAATTATCGCTATTTAACACAAAAAAGAGAAATTAGGACGGCTTCTTGTTTTTGGAAACCTCATTTTGCTGTACCCCAGAAAGCATACAGGGTGTCCTGGAATAGCATGTCAATCTTTCATGTGTCTAAAAGTAACTAGTAATGAAAACAATAAACTCATTTGGATCTCCAAAGATTGCATTTCTGGAAAGCCTAATATTCAAGCTGAAAAAAACGTGCTCTTATTTGACATCAATAATATTGACGGATTTTGAGGTAAAAACACTTTGGTTCAGCACAGTGCTCTAGCATATCTAGTATACTGGTTACGCCGTTTTGGAAGTATGGTTATTCTGATAAAAGATTCGTGCAAGCCTGGAAAAGGTCACAATCAATGGCATTATAAAATATATCGAATTTTGTTAGGGTTACAAAAACCATTTTATTCGAAAATATCAATTATTAGTATCAAGTTTTCAAAAATTTTTGATATCTCAGATTTGTCAATATATATCATTCAGTAAACCATAATATAATTTTTCAAATTCCATTTATTATCCAAATATACTTTTAAAGCTAAATAAAATAGTTCATTAAAGCTAGGCAAATACTTTTAACTGAACTAATTAAACAAATTTAATAAATATAACTAATTTGTTTTACTTGTAGCACGTAAACTTATTTTAATAGTTTATTAATTTTAAATAAATTGCTGTACGCAATCTAGGTAAACCGTTTAATAAATTTAAATAAACGCTTGCTTTTTGATTTAATCAAACTAGTTAAATAGATTCAAGTAAACTGTTTCAAAAATTGGAGTTTTATTAAACTAATTAAGCCTGTTGGCTGTCCCATAGTTGATTAAATTTCTTAATTGGCCTAATTAAAATTTTGATTGGATTATTTAAATTTTTTTCTCGGTATGGATATGGATAATATTGAAACAAAATCTGATTATTCCATGGATATCAAACAGGAATATTTTTCCAGATAAAAAAATAGGCTTTCCAAAAGTATTGGCTTTGAGCCTTGATTATACAGCGTGCCAGAAATACCAGCAATAATGAGTTTTTCGTTTTCCATAAATACATTAAGTGATGACAAAACTAGTTACTGATTTGTCAAAACCTATCGTTCCCCAAGCGATCGCAAAAAAATGAGATATGATGTAGTTAGGATGACATGTACATAATGAAAAACCATGTCGTCCTTTTCCGTCGGTGTGTGTCTGTCTGTCGGTCTATCTTGAAATTCGTTTTTATATTGTGATGGTCATTGATCTGTACTTTAAAAAACGCCAGTAAAGAGTATGTGTGGTTTCATTTGGCCAGAAAAACATACGCGATTTTACGTTAGAATATAGTATTCATGTATAAATTCCAACACCCCGAATTTCAGCTTGCTAACTTGACTCGTTCAAAAAATAAATAGGGGGGAAGGCTTTTTGAAACATACTGTAGAAATGTGTAATACACACATTACTATTTTATTATTATACAGGGTGATTGAAACTTCTCTACATTGACTGAACTAAACTTAGTTGACTGCTCTTTATATAATGAGATATGTTTAATTAATTTCATAAACACTGATATGTGGATCGATCGTCAGGAAACAGGATCCGATATAAGCTAGCGAAGGACATAAGCCTATACAATGCCGTCTATCTACTGCCTCTCATGCAAACTATTTACTATTCACGTTGACGTACGGCACTACAGCTATAGTAGTATTTTGGGAGCCATTTTAAATATCTGATTAGTTTACATCTATATAGCACAACAATAGAGATATTGCAGACATTTTTAGCAGTTGATTCCATGAATCATTATAGAGGGTTAATCGCTTATACTCTGCCCTTGACGTACTTGGAATAAAGCTACCCTGATTTTATACTAAGTGACTCAGAAAAAAGAACATCCAGTAATGATGAATGGAGGTTTTCTTGGTATATGTATCGATATCGATATCGATAAACCGGTTCCATGGCTATAAGACATCGTGGATGCCCAACAAATTTTTGATTTTTTAAATTTTTTTTAACGGTCGGATTTTTATAAAATTCTGACCAATTACTTATCTAACACTGAGAGACATTAAAACAAAATATATTTGTAATATTTGTTAATCATTCGATCATGTTTTTCCTGTGAATGTCCGTTTAGTTATGGAAATAGTTTGAAATTACTGGAGGGCAAATGTGGTGTATATGGAGGGTAATTTAGCAATTCAAAGCCTGCTTGATGTAGAGAAAGCCATGTTTCATGCTCTTTTTTATGGCCCACTACTTTGTGGCCCATGAATCAAGAAGCAGATGAGGTCAATACAGTTTGACTTATAAGCTTAATGTTGTAACAGCCTACTAAGATCGCTTGCTTTACGAGTACTGCCAACAAAATTCATCAGTAGGCATCTGCAAAGGGGTCAGTTTTCTGTTTTTTTTTTATTCGCTGAACTAAAAAGGTTTTGTTACCCATCAGTCATTTTATAGTGAAGATATTTTCAAGGGGGAGCTGCGCATGATGTAAAAAAATGGAATCGATGCGTTAGACCTGGTCCAACCCTGTGAGGAAAAATTAGCTGAATATATTTAGAGAAGACGTATGCGGCCCTAAGTAGTAGCCACTGAGTTGAAAAATCATCGGAATACTGAGTATCTTTAAAAAATTCTCTGTTAAAAAAAAACGGTGGCCAGATTTAGAAACGATTTTTATATAAATTCGACAAGTTAATTTTTGTGTTTTAAACGACACAGATGATACTGAATTTCACAAAATGTGCTATATAGACCTTATAATGCAGTTGGTGTTAATATTTCAGGTAGTTTGATATAACCACCTTATATGTGCAGGCACATACATATATCGCATCACACATTCACGTAAACTATAGTTTTGCTGCCGTTATATTCAATTTTGAAGCTTTTCGCCTTCTTTATACCAAAATTTATGAATGCTGCCTTAAAATATAACAATTTTGTAGTACGCTCAAGCAGCTTATAACTTTCCCCAGACTGGATCTTTAAAGTTGGACGCCTTTTTCGATATTTCGTTTTTCGAAGCTCCCCTGATTATTACATACTTCAATGGGGTACTTTGTCGGTTCATGCAACCCAATGATAGGTGAAAGTTTAAACAAACTGTTATAAAAACGTGTTCCTCAAAATTAAACTAGATGAAAACCTGGCATTGGTGGGAGCCTTTTCTTATATTTTTGGATCATATTGAACAAAAAAGGTCCTAAGCAATTTCTCTCTAAAATTGACCGTTTTCGTGTTACACGCTCAGTTAAAAGTATTATTTTTGAAATTCCCAAATATCTAAATAACGATTCAAGCCTTCCCTCACAAAACCCGGAAGACTATTTTAGGATAGTTTATTTTGAAACATTTTGACTTATTCATTAATAACACGCTAACAATGCTACTGAGGTCCCCGTTGTTCAAAATAATCCAAAAATTAAAAAAGAACTTCCACCGGAACAAAAAACAATTATTGTAATTTATTCCAAAAATTTATTTTAACAAATTTGCACCGAGTTACCGCCCAGCAGCATTTTGATGTTAGATGTTAGAAAATTCAAAATATAGTAAAAAATTTCTCCTGCGAAGGCGACGTTTTCGCTGTGCCTAAAAATACTTCGGTAATGCCGATATTATCCAATGAAAAAATATCAATAATAACAAAATTCGATAAATTCTGGAATTTAGACTCAGCTGAAGTGTTCCTGAATACAGATTTCCCTCTAGATACATTTTAGAACATGCGGTTATCGGATAAAAGGAAAGATTCTTTCTTATTCTTGAGTATCTGACGTTTGTGTGAACTATAAAGTAAAAACGGCATTGTGTAAGTTTTGATATTACATTCCGTTTACTTAGAATATCTACAGGGTCATTTAGTACGAATTGAATCGATATGTATATGCAAACCTTCGGGTCCAAAAACCATGTTGTCATTAACACGTCAACTGTGTGACGGACCAAGGCTGGCTGAATGTAACCCGTCACTCGTTCATCCAAGGGTTTAGTTTACTAATAAAGAAAACACTAAATTCTTTTCACGCTTATAATGGAAAACTCACTTTGAATTTAATAACAGACAATAGTGGTACAATAAATCGTATATCGCAAGAAAACTTTCCGGTCAACGTCCTGTGTCATACCCTCCTACGTCATACGTGTCATACATGATGGCTCGTCCTTTTTGAATGAAATATTCGTCAAGTAAGGTAAGGTTTTCAAACTTTGCTTGTACGAATGTTTAGTAGTAGACCCTATGAAAATGGTGGTGCAAAAAGGTGAAGGTTTTTTGTCACTGATTATATCTGTTAAATATCGTGTTTGTCACCTTTTTTATCATCACTTCTATAATCCACGACACAAAAATAAAGCTTTACAACAGCCGAGAAAAAAATACAACTATTCCTGTTGCTAAAATTTATCAAAAACTGTTTTCTAGCATGAACATAAAACAAGAGCTAAAAACTTCTCAAAAGATGAAGAAATGATGAAACAAAGGCATAATAGAGAGCAAAAAATGACAGTCTCCTCTGAAGAGAAAAGTCTAGGGTCATTTTTGTGAGACGAAACCTTGCAAGGAAATACAGGTCGTCAATTCCTCAAAGTAATGGCGGATTATTTTTTGTCTTCTTGCCGTTTTGTCTCTGCTACACGCATT